ATCAACTCTGATTTCCTGCTTTGATGAAATATTGACAAGCAAATCTATACTGCAACACATCTCAGGAGTCCGTAACAAAGGATAATGCAGGATATTATTTTACAACAGAAGATGTGTAGTATACTGAAAAGCATTTGTGTTCTTATTATTATATTTGTGCTTTTCTTTTTGCAATGAAACTTATTTCCAATAAATCTAATTTCATATTTTTACCTCATTCTATATCAACATAAAAGCTTGCTTCTCTTTTTTCTCATGTGTCTACTACTTTCAATGATTTTAGTCTCTCACCGCCCATCGTCTAGCCCAACACAAATGTTGGCGCCAGTCCCTGAGGGGGCCTTGTGAACTCCAGCCTCCACTTCCTCAGTCGGAGAAGGTTCTGGCACATATTCCAGACATCGGACAGCAGAGCCGACCTGCAGGCTCTTTACAGCTCTTGGCATGGGCCTGTTGAGGGAAAATATCTCTATCTGCCACTGAGAACCTTCTCCACCAGCCACCTGTAGGGAGAAAAAAACCCGGTTGAAAAAGGTCAAGACCCCATGTTAAGCTGTACCAATGGACCGAATCATAATGCCACAGTTAATAAACTATTCTGCTGAAACAGAAAAAAGGAGATGGAGGAAGAGCAGAGGAAGAGCAGAAAGCTGAACTAGGCTAGTCTCTCTTAGATCATGCTTGCAATGTGATTAACACTCACTGTTAATCAAATAGTGGAGACCAGATGATAATGTGTCTTTGGTTAAACATTCTCTACCTGTCAGCAATTTAGATTTCAAAAAAGTTCAAATCAATTATCCTCTCAGACCTGGTCGTTTGTAGTCCACCCTCACTTTTTTGAAAATCACTTAGACTTTCAAACACATTATGTAATAGATTCACAATGTCATCGCTAGAACATCAAACAATTCTTAAAACTCTGCGATCTTTTCATCAATGAAGAACAGAGAGGCTCTCGTAAGTTTCTGAAAGGTTCTGAGTTGTTTAACAATGAGCTTTTTTTTGTAAAGATCAAGTGACTGATCTATTGCTGGAGTAAGTTCATGATAAAAATTAAAATATAATAATTTCCAACTCTTTAAACTAGACATCTGATGTTTGCATGTCCAAGGTCACACTGAACACTTAAATATGCTGTTCTCAGTACAAATGAGCAAGTCAACACAAGCATACAAACAGAGCCTATGAAAGCCAGGGCAGCTTTCAGTGGCTCAATTTGGATTGATTGGAGGTTTCTGCCACTCAACACCTGTAGATGTCTGTCCCTTTTTGAAGATAGCACAAGTTGCGAAAAAACCTCTCTAATAAACAAGAAAGCAAGTTTTCAAAAAAGGTTCACCAATCATAACAAGCTTCCCAAGGCGAATCACAATCCATGAGGCTGAGTGTCTTGATTTCCTATGTACCACATTTATATTGGCCTTTGTGTAAGCCTGTCAATGCCAATGGTGAAAAAACAAAGACTGCAGGAGCCCTCCAACCTATCACTGATGGAATCCCAATTAAAGTGGCATTGCTCCCATTCCCAAACAATTAAAGTGTCGCTGTGGGTTTTCAATATGATTTCATTCATTACTCCTGTGTGAGGCCTAGGTGGCTGTCTAGACAAAATACAATGTCCTTCTTGGAAAAGAAGCAAGGCTGCTTGCTGCTAGAAACAGACGATTTGTTCCCTGTATGAATCACATCGCGTGAATGTGACATGAGCTAAATATAGTCTTTAGCTCTTCTCCTCCACACTCACCCTTATTTGCATGCAATCATTTGTTTGATTTGTATCAGCGTGCAGAATCTGGACAGGAGCGATCCTGTGGGCTCTTGAGAATGAGCCAGAACAAATAATGGTCTGTTGCACAGGGTGAAAAAAAAGATAGGGAGGACTTATCTTGCAGCGAGGAGCCAGAAAAAACACGGCTGCAAGTGACTCTGTGTAACCAGAGCCAGGGGCAAGGCTCCCTCACCCAGACTCGCCCACAATTTATACATTCACGTGTCCATCTGTACCTCCAAAACCCTTACCCACACCACCATCACACCCCTCCCCCCTTCCCCTCTCTCTCCCTTACCGATATCCAGTGCAAATGTTGTGTCCTGACAAAGTCATCACTACTTATTTAGAGAAATAGATATCTGGAGTTATGCCCTGGACAGATTCCTCTTCTCAGCTTGGGAGAAGCCATAACTTTCCAAACAGCAAATGCTCTGCCAGCATTAATTAGACTACTCTGCGTGGGAGAATGGTCATCATAGCACACTCTGCTCAACTGTATTCACCACATTGAGAAGCCAAAACCAAGGGTCATCAACTTGTTGTTGATGTACTCTGAAATGGCTGCATTTTGGGTTCCCCATCACTGACACTTGCTACAAAGTTTAACTTCCTGATTAAGTGTATAAGAAGCGAGACGTAATGGCAGTTTAGCAGTAGGTTGTTGGGAAAAGTAGGACAAGGAAGGTGAAGGCAAACAGGGAAACACTGGGGTATCAGGCTGATTAGACACAATGTCATTACTCTGATCAAAGCATACAGAAATCCCCACAGCCCATCTCACTTTAACATGATTAGTGTCATCCCTTATTTGACAAGCCTGCCAGGGAGGTAGAACCAACTGGGGGCGGGAACACTCAGCCACTAATTATTCTTGCTGGATCCACAGGCCTTCATTATAATTTTTTTACTGGATACCAGTTTGTTTTTGCTTTGGTTACATGTTGTACTGTACAGTATGTAACATCCACTAAGCTGGAAGAAGGTCAAATGTGCTAAGTACTCAAGAAACTGCTTACATGTTTGCCATTCTGGTTTCCAGAATTGTGAGTTAGCAGGAATGTCCTGCTAAGTAAATTAATTCTTGACATTTTTCTTCCATTCTTAATGAAAATGTCTGCAGAAAATGTTGACTTAAGTGAAAGACCTCGCAGCCAGATGCCATTTAAGACTTCCTTACAGATATCATTCACCATACAGTCCTTGGGCCTCTATGGGCAGACATTTTCAAGTTATTGACATGCAGCATGTGTACCGCAGGTTATTCACAACATCAAATGTGACTTAGTAGTATGTAACTACAAAAGTGCAATTATTATTGAATCAAGAAGTGCATTTTTATTGTTTACTGAGCAACGCTCCATCTCAGCAAACAAAGTTTCTTTCCCTAAGATTTAGATCCAAATTATAATTCTTCTTTTGGAGCCAAGCTTCTTAAAATCTTTATAGGTGATTCCTTGAAGATTTGACATTGAAATCGGAAACATTAAAGTATCAACTTTTGACCTAATAGGGTTGCCACCCGTCCCTTAACATACGGAATAGTCCCGTATTTGAGAACTGAATAGCGAGTCCCGTTTTGAATCAGTACGGAATGTGGTTTGTCAGACACATAAGCATTAATTTAATAAGAGATGAGAGAGAGATACAGCATATTTAATACACATTTAATTATCAAATTATAGTGCCTATGTGAAGAATATAAACAACTATGTGTTATGCTATCTATAGAACTGCATCCTTCAATACTATATAATTAACAATAGGCTAAATAAAAACAAAAAAAATAAATACAAAAAAGTATATTTTCTGACCAATCATTAAAATGGTGAAAAATTTAATTTAGAAATGTCTGTAGATGTCTGTGTTCACACCACCCTTTACAATTACTTAAGTTCATTTGCAATTTCTCATCCTGTCCATCAACAGCCACATCATAAGCATAGCAGCATCCATTGGTTACGTGGAAAGGATATTTTCCAGAATTACCAACATAGTGACAGCAAGAACAGGTGCTCCGTGAAGCTCATTAGGAGTGAGCTCTTCATCACTCTGAACTTTGAGCAGTCCTGCTCATAGTTTTACTGAAGCTGTTTGAAAGACAAACAGCTACTCAGTACACAAGTAGTGTACTTCTGACAAGAAAACATTTATTAAAGGAAGTAGGCCGAACATGCTCCAATACTTCACACAAAGCCTACCACTTCTGGTCCACTGATGTACATGATGTTCATGGAAAATCCTTTGCATGAGTCTTTCCAATCAAATCATATGTCATTTCAATGGTCAGCATTCAGAGACCGGAAAAACTTGGATCTTGTCTTGCAATTTACGTTGAAGACTTATTACGTGATTTGAACTTGCCTTCAAGGACTGTGAGACTTGACTTGAGACTTGCTCTGACAGAAGTGTGACTTATATGTCTTGAATGATGTGAGAATTGACTTGGTCTTGAGACCAAGAGAAACTGAAAGTCAAAGCGGCCTGTGCCCCTTCAAAGAGTGATATCACAGTGCCCTAAATGCCAGCTCCACCATATCGCCTTTTCCCTGTCTGAATGAGCAGCCAGTCTTAGTGCCACACAAGCAATTAAGTCTGAGACACTGAGCCATATAGTGTGTCTTGGAGGGCCCACACTTGATTTAGCCACCTTTTAGGTTAGGAGAGAGAATTGCCTGATAAATTAACCATCTCCAAAAAGGAGATTAATAGCATAGTCTTTGCATCATTTCTTTCTCTGAATTCCCCCCTCTTTCTAGATCCATCTAAATTCCAGGTCCAGGAATTGTGATGTGATAGCCTGGCAGAACAATTTGCCCCACTCATCATAAAACACTCTGCAGAAGTTACATACAACTAGCCTTTATACTGTATTCATTTATAGTTTCCTGGTGATATTTTACAGAGCAAAATGTAGCATCTACCAGCCTTGAGATACATTTTAATTCCAATTTTTTAATGAATGAGAGCAGAATGAAGGAAAGGCATTTAAATGGTCATGGCAGTTGTATTAAAAGCTAAAATTATCAGCAGCATTAAAATATGCATTATTTTGACTTGTCAGTAGTTATTTGGCATTTAGCTATGTGAATGTGTATGCATGCGTGCGTGCGTGTGTGTGTGTAAGCACCACATTACTTACCCAGAGGTAGCCTTGAGGTAAGGAGGTGCTCGCTGCAGAGAAGCCCAACAATGCACAGTGAACAGGATTGTGGAGGGCAGCTTCAAGCTATAAGAAAAAATATAAATATTGATTTAATAAGTCTCATGGTTCAATACTGCAACCATGTATTAATAATTCTTTTGATGTAGTCGCAATAAACCACTAAACTGACACTGGTTGGTCACCTTTCACAAGGATGCATGTGAAATCAAAACGCCTCAACTCTGGCACCTACATCTAGAACTTCGTCATTTTACATGGGGGTTGATGGCATTCTACCCACATTATAAGCTGTGAATGTAAGTGTATGGAAACACTCATTGGAAGCATTAGCAGCTCACACATCACATCTTTTTAAATCTTTTTTTTTTACATGTTCACATATTTTCACAGAATAACCAAAATAACTGTGGACTCTTCCTCTCTCACAATAAACTCCTGTTTTGACAGTCTGAAAATGCTGTATCATAAATAGCAGTTTTATTTGTCGAGCGCTAAAAACAATGATATAAACAAACAACAGACTCACACCACAATGTTCATATTAATGTATAACCTGCAGGTGTTCAATTTTAAATTGCTTTCTACTACCAATGCCAAAATCAAAAGGCCAACATTAAAAAAAACTGTTTGATGTTTCAGCTATTATTGGATTCAAACATTAGAGTTTTGGCCTAGTTTTAGCTTTTTTTACACAATTCTTATTTTTGTATCATTTGATTTGTTTTTGTACCTAGTTTTGGTGTAACATGTAGTTCTTGTTCTTTTAGTAACCATGCTGTCGGCTCTCAAGATACCGGAAGACTGAAATCCTGAACCAATGCAGATGTCTGACTATTTATTGTCAATAAAAGGAGCCATGATTTTACTAAAAAGGAAAAAGAAATCTGTATTCTTTAGGCATAAAGCACATTTGTTTGCCTGAAACAGAGTGATGGAGGTTGACATTTACAGCGTACAGCCTGTGGCTGATGCATCAAAACCCCTGTGGTGAAAGCTGCTCTTGTAACCAGCAGTCCGTCTAGTAAGAAATGATTATTATTTTGGTGTACGACCGCTAAGGGTGGGCCTTCTGACAGACGGAACAGCTAATAGTGTGTTGTTGGGGTGGTGGGGAGCAGGTGAGTTGGTGGGTCTGAGAAGGGGAGGAGGGACTAAAGAGAGGGTCAACAATGAGCACTGTCGTCCTCCATGGCGGCAAGCATCAATCACCGGTGATTTAGAGCCTCCCCTGGACAGGATCCGCCCCCCTTTCTCTCTTGTTGTGTGTTTGTAAACACTAAACAAAAAAATAGGATACTGGCCAGATCACTGCTTTCCCCATCTGCACTGCAAGACTATTCCTCCACTCCCCCTGTGTTTCCCTCCCTCTATTCAAATTCACTACACAGATGCATGGCTCGTCTTCTCTATCAATCTCTCAGTCTCCCTTTCCCATTTCTCTTTCCCATCTTTCACTCTTTTTTCAAACCTGCTTTTCCTCCATCTTTTTTCTCCCTCTTCCTGTCTGCTAGCCCTCTGTCAAGCGCAATGAAATGTTTTTTGATAGGTAATTAAGCGGCAGCTATAATAGGTGTCCATATGGAAGCAGCTGTGGTTGTGAGAGAGACAGAGTGTGGCGGTGGACCAGAGGGACCAGAGTACTATCACGGACGGTGCTGGTAGTTCAGTGGTGGTTGGATTTTATCAGTCACCTGAGACTAGCAAGCACCATAGGCCTAGATTGCTTTGTATGTTAGCACTCTCCAGAGTCAGTCTGGCAATACTAGTGGGATCTATCCACTCTATCAGAACAGTCCCATCACAGCTTCCTAAGGTATTCAAAGGCAGGAATGTGCACTGGGGTTATTGAGATAAATTGCCGTTGTGTAAATTAAAAAGCTTGTTCCTTAATGAGATCAATCATTTGAAAAATTTGACGCCTACTCTTGTAAAATTATTGATATAAAGAAGAAATCTCATTTTGGAATATTGTAAAAGTAATTTATTATTATTATTATTATTACGTTTTAATTACCATGAGACATTTTCAATTTTGAATGAAACTCCATGACTGTTACATAAAGCAACATTTTGTATGAGAGTGGTTTGAAGCACATAAGGATATCAAGGCAAGGATAGATTGTGTTCCCATTATGTGCAGACAGTGACTATGATCAATACAGTAAAACGTTGGTCCGCGTATTGAACTTCTTTAAACAGCCAATGGAAAGAGCACAAAAACAAAGCCTGTGAGATCATTTCCACCTGTGAATGTGCAAATTATATCGATTGGCTCAAAGGACATGTGGGTCTTCAGCAATGACCATATCAGTGGTGATCCCAATGCTAATAAGGCATCAGTAAGGCACCATTTAAAAATCAATGAGATCCAAGAGTTCTCAAAGTCAATTGTCAGTCTTGTTTATAGCACAGTCTGTGTGTGTGTGTGTGTGTGTGTGTGTGTGTGTGTGTGTGTGTGTGTGTGTGTGTGTGTGTGTGTGTGTGTGTGTGTGTGTGTGTGTGCATAGCTGTAGGTGTGAAGTTGACAGGCTGAAGCTATTCCCAGGTGCGGAGGCAGGATGAAAGAGGAAGGTGAGCCTGTAAGCTGGCTGAGGGAGGTTTGATGGGAGGACTTCGGGGAGTGTGGAGAGAAAAAGGGAGGAAGCGGGCAGGTGAGCTAATTAAAGCGAGATTTGTTGATGTGATGAGAGGGCGGCCTCCCAGCTGCTGGTTAACAATGACCCAATGGTCGACAGAGAGTCCGCCCCACCCATTACCCCAAGAGGGCGCCAGCCCATATGCTGGTTCCAGGTGGCAATGGTTAACAGAGGAGCATCCATTGCTTTTCTGGAAGATAAATGCAAATTGTGTGTAATTATAACCATTCCTGCAGGATAGAATGGATGGGATCATTTATTGTGAATGCCTTTTATCGTGAATGTCTTTTATCTACTGAGAAAATGCTTTGCCTAGTTACACACAGATTCAGCTCTTGGCTCTTGGTAAGTCAACAAATGTAAGTAGTGGTGGTTATTGGTAGTGGTCTAATATGACAGGGTAGGGCTTTAATGATTCATGCTCTTGGCTGTCGACTGTCAGCGCAGTGTCCCCTTGGTAAGGATGACTTCCCCAAATCCAATTAATGTTGTTTTACTTCCCAAGGCTACTCAGGTGCACTGTTTTTCCTTACAGCACTATTCGTCTGTAAGCACTGTGAGATCTGCTCTCAGATATATGGGGGATTTACCACACATCAGATTTGTGACAACTGCTATTGAGAAAAGGTTCGTGCATCATATCCACCAGGGGCCCATAATGTTATCAATGACAAGACACACTGCAGCCAGTATTGCATTGTTTGGCCTACACCATGCTTACGTAATGGATTCTCTTTATTGGAAAGAGTGCTCTATAGTCACTTATGAAAAACTGCATTAAGTAGAACTCCTGAGCACACATTTCTGGACTGTTCAAAAGGAAAAAATATTGTTTGCAAATACTATCGAGTATATTGCACTGTACAGCCAGCTGAATATCAAATAACAAATATTATCTCCATAAACTGCATGCGTACAGACAACTTGGTGCTGTATATTAGACCCAGGGAAAGAAAATATTGCTGTATTTTTTTCCCAATTCCATAGTCACAGTGCCTTCCACCAATTCCACATACCAACAATCTTTTACACGCACTAACAAGCACTAATAGAAAACTTCCACTGTTTATTAACTGGTAATTGACTGGTGAAGGCACTCCCTCCCCACTGCAACCCCACTGCCTAAGGCTACAGGCAGGACAGCCACAGAGTGAATTGCCAGTCAACCTGAAATTACTTACATCCAGAGCCATGCTACAGGTAATGCACACTAAACAAGCTACTAACATGGAAGATTTTGCAAAGTTGCTGCTTGGGTTATCAAGAAGGCAAGCTCTGATGGAGAGTGGCATATCTTGATTGCTAAAATATAAAAGCATGCAGTTTGTTAACCATGTTCGGCCTTGATATGACCTTTTACTGTATGTCTTTGATTTCTAACATGTTCTAAGGAAACAAAAGAATAAAATAAAAACCTGAAATTTATATTGTTAGTGCAAAAAATGTGACCTAGCTGGTAGTAACGCGTCCCACCGATGTAGTTTTACAATAATCCTAATCTACTTCCGTTGGAAAGTTGGAAAAACACATCAACTTTTATTCCCCAAATGTCACAAGCAGGTTGAATCCACAGAATTTTCTTTGCTGAATAATATACAACTAAACATGACAGGATACAGTATGAAAACCGTGTGACCCCACAGCTAGCCTTTACCCTCAATTCCCCAGTTCAACCACTTCACTAATGTAATTGAGCTCTCTTAAAGCAACAGTACCAAAAAAATGAATGAAATAGCATATTACATACAAAAGGGTCAAACTGTTTTTTTAAGGGGTCACATGGCAAAAAGGTTTGGAACCATGGCCTTACCAAACTATGAGATCACTGAGGTAATTATTTCCTAAAAAAAAGAATAAAACATTTATCCAAAAAATCTATTTAAAAAGAAAATTGGAACTATATTCAGGACTTGAAAACATCTGGTCTATCCTTTTGTTTGCTACTACTTGCATGGTCTACTACTGTGGTTGGTTGTGAACAAAGGTTGGCATTACTTGGTTGCATTACGTGACATATATGTAATGAGTCCTGAGACATACAGTACGGTCCTGTCGTTCTATTCACCCAGTGCAAGGGGGGTTTTAACCTGCATACACTTGCCACAAGGTCAGTCAACACTGTGTTTGAATACAGGATACACTTTGCTACAGTCACTCTGTCTGTTATTGCCTACTTCAAAGTGTGTGTGAGGTGATGATGAAGGATTGGATCAACCTATAGCCTATGTCCAAAATAAATATGTGCATGGATGAGAGAGAAATCGGTTTCTTCTGGGTCACTGATCAGAATCGTTGCAGAAAGGAAATGGTGCCAGTGATTTCCAATTTCAGTGATACCTCATGCGTTGTTTTTTTTTTTTAAAGGACATATTATGTTTAGGTATATATTTAATTTAAAGACATATTAGGTCTATGTATCTTTTCAAT